TTTCACAGGGGTGGCACACCAGATATTCTGCATATTAGGTATCTACATTACGAGTCATAACAACAGAACGTTACAGTTATGTAGTAGCAATGAAAATAATTTTATGGTTGGGTCACCACAACATGAGGAATTGTATTAAAGGGTTGCAGCATTAGGAAGGTTGAGAACCTCTGTCTCAGATGATACTAATCCAGTTACAGCACAGAGCCATGCAACTGGGGTGCACCATGTGGCATCTATCAAGGAGGTCTTGATAACTGGGAGTTCAAACAAATGTTCAAGTGATCTTGCTTTGAAAGACCTTGGCACATAGAAGATCCTCAGTCAATATTTACTCAGTAATAAACTGAAGAAGTAGCTGAGTGCTTTTAATGAGAAGGCATTCGATGCTAGCTCTATGAAGGATGACAAAAGCCAAACTCAGCTGTTGAGGAATCCACAGGGTGGAGGACACTTGAGTTGGTGTGCAAGAAGCTCTGGTCTTACAACCTAGCTCAGCCTCTGCTGCAAGCTTTGGTTTGTGGACCAGTTAATGGAGGGTGGGGTGATGTCAGCTGTCGCTCTGTAAAGGGAAGGATGGTTAGTCGTTGTTTTTCACACTCATTATTATTATTATTATTATTTTGGTTTTTTGAGACAGGGTTTCTTTGTATTGCTTTGGAGGTTGTCCTGGAACTTGTTCTGTAGACCAGGCTGGCCTCGAATTCACAGAGATCTGCCTGCCTCTGCCTCCTGAGTGCTGGGATTAAAGGTGTCTGCCACCAGCACCCAGCTCACACTCATTCTTATAAAGAAGTGTAATATACACAGCATGGGAAAGTAGACCATTGTGGGTAGGGTCCAAGGAAGCAGCTTCAAGCTCGTTTCCTTTTGCCACCCTGTGGTTCTCCACAACACAGATTGCAAGTGAATGGCCTTAATGATCTGTTAGGTCCCTCTCCAGCTGTGACATCTGAGGACAGTGTTAATAATCAGTGTTACATGGAGCTGTCTGGAGGCCTGTGGAGGACACTTGAGGACATCTTCTGAGAAACACTTTTTCAGAGTGTCATCTTACCCCTCAAACCTACTTTGGTCCTTGCAGTCTTCAGCTCAGCCATGCCACGAGCTATATTGTCTCCTGCACCTAAAACTTGGGAACTGTCCAAACATCCTTGTTCATGGTTCACATCCAATAAGTCAACAATTTCTCTCAGCCCCCAATATTTGTTAAACTTACCAGCCTTATTCAGTTGCAGAGCTTGGACCCTTCTCTTGTGCCTTGGGGCAGTCCCAGCAGACCGTGGACTGTCATTTCCTCTGGATGGGTCACACCTCTGCACAGTGTCTCCCCCAGTTCCTAAGACAGTTCTCCTGGAGAGCAGGGAGTGCTCTCACCACCTTTCGGCCCCTGCCTCTGTCTCATGCTCTGGAGACATCAGGTCGCCTCTGGTTCTTTGGCCGAGTGTCTGTCATCCTATGTGCTTGGGACCAGAAGCCTTCTAGATTTTGGAGTTTGACTTTGGATCTTAGAATATTTATTTAGACTTTACTAGTTAGGTATTACTAATCTGAAAAGCCTGAATTCAAAATGCTCTAAAACCAGGAGATTTGAGTCATGTTAGTGCTTAAACCCTTAAAGATTTTAGGGCATTTTGGATTTTGAATTTTTATATTCAGGATGGTCAACCTCTATCATATAGTTTATATCCTCATTCCTTGGGTTATGGTGACTTTTCTCTCCAAAGTGCTGAGATCACAGGCGTAAGTCGTCACTTGTAGCTCTAATTTTACTATTTCTTTAATCTCTGTAGAAAGCCCATGGTGACACTTGGCTATGCTAAGGGGCCCACTTTGTTAGGATTTTGTGCTACTACAACATTATTTAAAATTATCTACCTGGAACTATCTCTTATACTACACTATAACTCATTGGGAGATATCTCTCCCATTTCCACTTAATTTTTTTTTACTCTCAAATATATTTAATTGTCAGATAAAATTGTGTCGTGTCCAGGATGGACAAGGTCTCAGGAGCAAGCAGAAGGTTGTTGTCAAGTACAATAGTTTAAAACATTTAAGAGAAAAAAATTTTCAAATTAAGTGTGTTTATTGTATTCTAGTATTAGCACGAAGCTATAGTAAGCTTTGGATGCACTTTTTTCTTCTTAAAATTCTGCCTCATCTACGAAGAGAGAAGTAAAAGTGTACCAGTGAACAATTTTGGACATTCATTCAAGGATGTCTCTGGTCTTCTGATGTTGTTCATGTTTCCTAACATGGGCCTCTGGGATGGTGAATGCCTCAATGTCCCCTGATGCTGGCACACTTAGGAATCCCCCAGTAAAACAGTCTTTCCCATGATGCCACCCTCTTCTTATCTACCAGCAAGGCTACCTGTAATCTGTATGGCACTCCTCAGGGTGATCTTTCTTCAAAGGCACAGAGCCTAGCAGTAGCCTTGCCTTTGTTCAAGAAATAGGTGACTCCAGAGAGAGCAGATCTGGATTTGAGTCCTTTGGCCAGCCCCTTTGTGGAGTATACACACTTAACTCTGGGTGGGGCATACAAAGAGCCCTCAGGGTTCTCTCCAGCCTGTGGGTGGGCCGGGGTTGCTTACTGGGTAGAGAATGGACAGTCACCGCATCTCTGACAAACATTTGGGCCATTTTGTTATATGTTGCTCACTGTCCAGATGAGGCTGGACAGAGACATACGGGAGCACTTTCTGAGCTCTGGTCCAGAGACATTCCTCCTTTGTTACTTTGGCTTTCTTTAATAAGTGACAGAGTTGAATCTGTCACAGCATGAGCCAAACAAAATGGTGATTTCCCCATTCCATTGGTGGGAAGTCTCTTCCTTTCAACCATTCTTCAGTAATTATTATTAAGGAGAAGCTATTTATTGGTCTCCACACATAAACTATGAAGGAGACCTTAGCTAAATGTCTACTGTTTAGTATGTGTATATATTTTCTTCAGGACTTTAGCCCCTGACACTGGCTGAAATTAGCATTATAAAGCACTGAATTTGCACAATGGGGCAGTGTTCCCATCCCTGACCGTGGAAAGCTGCACTGAGGTACACATACCCTTTCCCTCTACTGACTAGCTGGAGCTGCTCGAACTTTGCAGAGGCTGAAGCAGCCACCAAGTTCCACCAGGGGCTGCTGTTGAACTTCTGAAAAAAAAATCGTAATTCGGAGGAGAAGAAGGTGGGTATTGGTGAATGGGGAGGGAGGCAAGGGGCTGGTGGGGGAGTGGTGGAAAAATATCTTGGATGCAAAGCTGACATTTCTGTCTGAGGTGAGGCATGCTTTGCTGATGCCACACATGGAATGTTTTGGAAGTGTCAGTAATAAATACTTCTATCAGGAATCTTCATATTCCACAGCTCTACTTATCATACCCCAAGGAGATTCATACAAAGACATAGCTGTCAGGGGCTAATTTGGGACCTGAAAACTATGGTGGTTGTCAGGCATCTTTCCCCATGTGTGATATTTATCTTCTCTCACAAACAAACTGAGTGCAGGGTTTTTAATTAATTTCCAAGTGTCTCCCATGGTAATTTTCTCTCTAATATATTAATACGATGGTTTAAGCCTTCATTCAGGAGCAGATTTTCGGATGAAAATCACCAAAGGCTTAGATGGTGTTTAGTGTTATCGATAAGGTACACGTTCGTTGGTTTGCAGGGAATCAATAAAGTTGCCCTTTCCTCATTTTTATTTTTAGAAGCATCAATGGGGTTTTATCTCTTTTAAGTATATTAAGGAAATCATGGACCCGATGATTTTATTTTTCTCCTTTTGATTGGAGGGAGCTCACAGGCTGTTTCTCTTATTGTTTGTGAAAGATGTATAGCAGGAAAAAGTTCTTGGTTTGATGATGAACAGATGAATTTTTAAAAAGTATCCCCTTCAGAAAAACATGATCCTTCCTTCCTTCCTTCGTTCCTTCGTTCCTCCCTCCCTCCCTCCCTCCCTCCCTCTCTCCCTCCCTCCCTCCGTCCCTCCCTCAGTCCCTTCCTTCCTTCCTTCCTTCCTTCCTTCCTTCCTTCCTTCCTTCCTTCCTTCCTTCCTTCCTTCCTTCCTTCCTTCCTTCCAAAGAACAAAGGTCCTGCACAGGGTCACAACCCAGGAGCAGGTAAGTCAGTTAGTTGACAAGTGAGTAAAATAACCCTTTTCTTTGCCCAATATCCCTTTCAGTACAAAGCACGACATAAAAAATAACAAATTAAAGGTATACTATTTGTACAAAGACTGAGCTAGAAATCATAACAGATTGAAGGTGCACTAGCTGTTTCTCAAAAAACAAATGGACTTGTGCTAATTACCTAGATTTAAACATTTCATACTGTATGGGTAAATCTATATTCTCTAAAATATGTTGTGTATGATACAATTTTACCTGTAAGTTAAAATAAATACATTTGAGAGGAAAAAAAGTGAAATGGAAGGGAAAGTGGCATCTTTCATAGAAGCTACATTTAGAGTTTTATTTATTTATTTTTGGTAATGCTTATGTCTGTATTTAATATTATTATACTCTTGGCTCAAAGGTTGCCTCAAATTTCATAAGGATTTCCCCCCTCAATTCACCTTTAACATATTTGATTACTGGGGTGATAGGGCAGTCCTTGAAGAAATATCTTTCTCTGAAAATGACATTCAAAAATCATCAGAAAAATTGCAGCAATAAAGGAAATCCCCAGAATTTATACAGAGCTTTTAATTACCTGCAATTAAGGTTTAAATCCTTAGAAATTCAGGAAACTCACTCTTATAGGTCTGGAGATTAAAATGTATCATTTTTCCCCCTCTGTGTGAGAATTTTATTCTTTCTCTTTCCAACCTGTCACATGAACATTTCCCCTAGACCCATTAGGCAAATTTAATAACCAAACCTCTATCTAGTGAGAAAGGAATTTTAAAGTTCAGCTGCCCCGTGCATAATTTGTTTGCTCCCACCTGCTACCCCTGGCCTCAATGGTTGTATGTAAGTGATAAAAATCAACCTTGTAAGCACAGATTGATCCTGGCAGCTTTTATTTTATGTGATTTCCAAGGATCGGTCTAGAAATGCTTCTTAATTGAAATAGTTCTCCTCCTTTGGCTTTTATTTCATTGTCCTTTCCTTCTTGACGTCTTGTACATCACATCAGAAGCTATTTTAGACACATGAAATGACAGCTTTCTCAGAGCCGACCGTGGATCCTGATAGACCTTCAAGCAGGCAAGTTGCTGGCGCCAGCTTCACGGAAGCATTCCCTGCACGATGGACGAGCCACCTAGAAACACAACCTAAACTGTAGGTTAATCATCCAGCCCGGGCTGGTGGTGTCAGTTCTCCCCTGCCCTGCATCCTACCAAAGAGCAAGAAAGCTCTGTTTGCTATTTAATTTAACAGAATCCGGGCTCAACTTTAGTTGGAAATTATATTTCCTCTCGGCTGGGATGGAAAGGCTACTGTAATTTAGTAGTCGGTTGTAAAGAAAATCCAAAGCAACTACACAGCATCTTTCTTCTCTGTTGTATCTTTCCCTGGATGGGAGAGCACAAAGTAGCTGTGGTGTGACTCCGCAATGCACAGATAACTCGTGTTACTGAGTGAAAGCTAGGTGATATTTTGGATGCAGAAAAGGGTTATTTGGGAAAAATGTATTTATACCAGTGAGTAGAAATTTTAAAAAAGGAAGCAGGATACAAAAATATTGTAGTGAGGAGAGGAATGAACAGTTCAGCGCTCAGACCTGGCCTCACTGGAGGTAACGAGCAAACATCTCATCATGGGATGGGTAACAAGATGAGTATTCTACATTTGTTTTTTTCGGTTCTACCTAAGTCTTTGTAACTTTACAATGTAAGATTCAGAAATTGGAGCCAATTACCATAATATGTGGTGGTTTGGTGGGAACATGTTCTACATCAGACAGTTAAAAGGGTTTATTGCTATTAGGAGCATGTTAATGCCCTTGATAATGTCTCTACTTGCTTTGTAATGTCTCTTGCTGAAGTATAGAATTCTTTTATCTTCTTATTACATTATGCAAAAAACTTGAATTGAAAAGATATTTGCAGGAACATTTAAAGTAGTGCATCAATCAGCTTCAAAGAAGAGAGAATGTTCTCGGAATAGCTTATAAAAGGATAACTGTCACTTTTATTTTGGGTGAACAAAGGCGACATCGCAGAAAGCACTTTATTGTAAAAGCACATGGCGTGACTCAATAAATATGCCGTACAAATATAAAAGAGAAGAAAGTTCGAAATTATCTTATGACTTAAGTGTAATTTAAGCAATACTTTTAAAAATGCAGCCAGCGACGAAGTACTCTTGCTGCTGGGTCCTGAGTTCTAGCCCGCGAGTCCCGGTGAGGTGATAGGTGTCTTTGATAACATAGGATTTGAATGGATTAGTCATGCTCTGTTTTTAATACTTCTCAGAAAGATACAGAAAGGAGCGTGTGGGGAGAGCATTAGCAAAAATCTTAACAACCACGTAATGGCGTAAGCTTCTCAAAATGGGTTTCATTATGTGCATATTATTCAACTGTTGCTCTTCTTGTGGCTGCTGTGAAGACAGCTTTGGATTTAGGTTTAACTGTGTTGTGACTTGGGTTAGCATTTCCAGATGTTCCCTGTGTATTAGCAGAGGTCCCTCTGCGGTGCATTTCTGGACATTTAGGATCAGGGCTGCTTTGCTGCTGTTCATTGAAAACATTTACACCTTCCTTAAAATGAGAAATTTCTTGTTAGTTTATAAGCATGCTTTGAACTATAAATGCTAACTACTCCATCTTATTTTCTAAGTATGTCTCCCAGGCCTCAGACCTTAACCTGATGATGAATGCTGGTAGATGACTCTGTGCGGTAAGGAATAAAAAGCTACCACCTGACCATCTGATTTTTTTTTTTAAGTACTGGGATGTGAGCCTAGGTCCTCTCATACAGGCTAGGCAAGAGGTCCTTTGCTACGCCACACCCCCAGACTGAACAATTTAAGGAAACACTCCGACCTGGCACCTGGAAAGCATAATATACATTTATAGAATCCAAATTTTCCATACTGCATGTTTCCACATATATAGATATATGTCTAGGTATGGAGAGTCAGGCCCCTGTATGCAGAAGCTATGTGGTGAGTGCCTGTTGATGAGGGTTTTTAAAAAATCCTAATCGGTAAAAATATGTCTCTGTTTTTAGACTTAACTAAAGGATGTGATGCCTTATTAAATATAGTGATACAATCTTTTCCAAAGCTCAGAATCTTCTAAGATTCAAAAAATTTTCATTTGAAGTCAAATAAGTAGGCTAATTTACTCTCTCTTGCCATTGTAGCTTAGGGAATTATATTAATGCTATGACATTTCTAAGAAATAATGCTCATTTATTTAGAAACTGCAAATATAGGACCTTATAATAAGAAATCGGCTCATGACTCTGACATCATTTTGCTCACATCTTATTTCTCGTGGCTATTGTACACGGTACCCAATTCATTAAAATAATTCTCCCCTCATTTCAGCGGGCCTCACGCAGACTCTGTAGAGTGTCACTCAGCCACGACTCTCAGGGATGTCCCACCTTCTCATTGTTCCTTTCTCTTGGCCTGCTGGGGAACACGCTCATTTTAAAAGTACAGGGAAAATTATCTCATAAGAGAAATTTAATAACAACGGAACTTCTGAGATTTTGAAAATACAGAATTCTTAAGTTATTGAACTATGGGAAAAGCTGTAATTTATAACCGGCAAGTTAGAATGTTGTACACATCTGTGTACTGTTTCAGAAAATAAAGGTTGTTACCATAGCAACTGCCACATAATATGGAACATACGTTATTTGTGAGATGCCAGGCTTCGTGTTAAAAAAAATCTCTCTTCTTGTGGCTGCTCCCCGATGTTTCAAGGATTCCCACCTCCTCTTTACTGTTATATGGGGTTTTCTCTGTTCACACTCTCATTTCCCCTCATTTTCATTTTTAATACTTTGTCAGATCAATTGATAAGTCTGCATAGCACGGCTATGATCTGCCAAGACATTTTTCCCCTTGTGTTTTGTTAATCTTGAAGAAATTCCAGTTAATTTTTAAGGTATAGAAATATATAAAGAATCCATTTAATTACAGTGAGTATGACACATAAATGTACCTGCTGACATTTTGCTTATTTGGCCTGTTGAATGTTTCACAATTTTGAGTTATATGACCATTATGATATTTTACCACTTGAAAAAATATCATCTAGAAGCATAAATTTACTCTATAAATATAATTTTTCACTTAAAGATTTGTAAGGCATGTTCAGTCTCACTTGAAACCAATCATAATTAAGGTAACCTTAAATATTTTATTTTTATTGTACATTTAAATTTTTTAACTTTTTGAGAATTTCATACTTGAGTACCGTATTTACATAATTTCCACTCTGCACCTCCTCCCTCTTAGGAGGTCCTCTCCAATTCATAATCTCTTGTTTAATTATTTTTGTCACACACAATATACATATGCACATATGTATACATAAATACAACCTGCTGAGTCTATTTAGTGATGTTCATATGTGCATGTGTTTTGGGCTTACCACATAGGGTTAGATAACCTACTGGTGGGTTTGAATAATTTATGATGACAAAATTTAACTATGTAGGAATAGTAAAAGCTAGGTGTCATAGTTCATGGCTGTAACCCAAGTTCTTGGGAAGCTGAGGCAGGAGAACCATCCTGTTGCTTCAAAATCCACATGGGGTAGAGTCAAATCTTGTTCTAAAAAAAAAAGGAAGGAAAGAAAGAAATTGGCTCATGACTCTGACATCATTTTGCTCACATCTTATTTCTCGTGGCTATTGTACACGGTACCCAATTCATTAAAATAATTCTCCCCTCATTTCAGCGGGCCTCACGCAGACTCTGTAGAGTGTCACTCAGCCACGACTCTCAGGGATGTCCCACCTTCTCATTGTTCCTTTCTCTTGGCCTGCTGGGGAACACGCTCATTTTAAAAGTACAGGGAAAATTATCTCATAAGAGAAATTTAATAACAACAGATTTCTAGTCTTTCTGGGAGAATAATACTAATTACTTTCCTTATGATTGTAACAAAATACCCGAGAGGAGCAACTTGGGAGTGGAAGTTTAATTTCATTTGTTTTTCTCTTCTCACTTTTAGGGACTACATCCTACCAAGATGGTGAAGGCATGGCCGCTGGGGAGTTCTGGTCTATGATGGTGAATAAGTCCTACCACAATGGTGGAGGCATGGCAGCTGGGGTGTGGTGGGGAATAAGTCCTACCACGGCGGTGAAGTCGCGGTAGCCGGGGTGTGGTGGTCTGTGATAGTCTGCACTTCAGAGCTCATCAGACTAGGAAGCTGGGAAAACTATGATTTGAACTAGAAGAGGAAACCACCTTCAAGCTTGCCCCTAGAAGCCTACTAGGAAGACCACATTTCTTAAATCCCCAAAGCATGACCACCAGCTGGGGGACCAAGGGTTTAAGCTCTTGAGCTTGTGAGAGGATGGTACCACTGGAAGTGCGGGGGGGAGCTGACAGACAGTTCTGAAATCTTGGTTGGATTTTTATTTATTGTTTATTTATTTATTTTTTATTTGAGACAGGATCTCAAATAGGCTAGGCTGACCTTGGAACTCTTTATGTAGCCTAAGATAGCTTTAAATATTTTGCCCCCAAATTCTGGGAGAATAGGTATGCTCTACCATGCATGCTTTGCATTCTCCATTGTAGTTTCAATACAAATTCTGTTTGTTTTATAGCTAGAATAATGAATCAGTAAGTGGAAGGAGGTTAACAATGGAATGTAGACAACTATTCCGCATGGCTGGATATGGGATCAGAATGTCCAACTGGTTTGAAATAAAAGCCTGAGAACAGCTCACAATGGAAATATGGTGTTGATGCTTGTTGAGGCCACAGTATAGCGAAGTCTTTTAAGGGAAGACACATTATGGGTGATGGACTTTACTGTGCATCACAACTTCGCAGTCCAGAGTCAAGATATCATTGCCATCATTGCCATATTTTATGAGGTAGATGTTTTCTGGAGAGTGCTTCCTCCTGCCTTTTCCTTTACATAGGGAAGAACTGGGTACTGGCTTTCTTTAAAATAGTTACCACTGAATCTTCACAATGTCATAAAACTGTGTTTCATCTATCACAAAAACAAATACTTATGGTAAAAAAATGACGGAATGAATTATACTCTTCTTTTCTTAAAAAAAAGAAGCTTAATAGTTTAATCAATAAACATTTATTAAACATTTACCAGGTGTCAGACAGAGTTCTTGGGATATACAGATGGATAACTGACTGTGCTCTCTTCCCTAGCTTTTAAGGCCCTGCAGAGTTTACCACCCTCTTTTTCCCTTAAACTCCAGCACCATTGCTGTCATCCATACTTTCTTCACTATGCCTTGGACAGGAGGCCAGCATACTTTTTCTAACAAAGGTCAGATAGCAAATTATTCTTGGCTTTATAGCCATATTGTCATTAGTGTATGCATGCACATGCATGTGTGTGTTTGTGCATGCATGTGAAAATCAGAGAACAACCTTAGGTGTTCCTCAGGTTCTGTCCCTTTTCTCTCCCTCCCCAGAGATTTCTCATTTGGCTTGAAACTCACTCACCAAGTAGGCTAGGCTGGTTGACCAGCAGTCCTTGGAGATTCTGCCTGTCTTCCACTTTCCTTACTGGATCAGCCCCAGGCACTGGGATTACAAGTGTGTCTGACTGTTTTTATTTGGGTTCTGGGTGTTGAACTCAGGTCCTGATGCTTTCACAGCAAGCACTCTACTGGTTGAGCCGTGTCTATGTCTCCAGCACAGGTTATTTAACTCTGCTAGTAAAGCACAAAAACAGCCATAGATACTAAAGAAACAAATGGAAGAAATGAGTGAGGATGGGCTCCAATAGAACCTCATTTACAAAGGTAGCAGGCTGGCTTTGTCTACAGGCCGTGATTCGTGGCTCCTGTTTTAGATTTGCTAGTTTTCCTTTGCTTCCTCCCATCTGCTGAGCCTTTCCTACCTCAGAGTCCTGTACTTTCTCCAGTTCATCCCAGCATTGCCCTGATGTTGAGCACTCACTGTGAATGATGCTTTGTTTTTGGTTGTCATGTCTGAGTGTCCCCCTCTGTTCCATTGCTAGCTGTTAGTAGCCATGTCTTCTCAACTCTCTGACATCAACAAGGTCATTTACCCAGTCACTCACTTGGTCATGGTCTGTGCACCATCCAGTTGATGCAGTACATGCTGTGTGGGGCAAGAATCTCTTTGGTGTTGCTATTTCGGGCATTTCTACAGCCAGAGCAGAATCAGTAGTGTGGATCACATGAATATAACACATGGCCCTGAATCTAAACCATATGCTTCTAATGATTTCTCAGCATTCCCCTTTTGTGGCTTGTCAGGCCAGTGATGGTTTGAGGGTTTTGTCATACTTCCCTCAGAGTTACCTCTGCCTGTTGGCAAAGCCCATCTTCTATGTATTGCTGATAGCTCAGGAAATTTCTCCCATGGGCTTGTGTTAGGCTGATGTTTTCACTTGTGCTGCCCACTGTGCGTTGACCCCTGCATCTGTTTGTCACTGCCTTTGTTGACACTGCTGCCACGTCCACTGGGTGTCATCATTTCCCATAGACTCCTCTGTTCCTTCTGCTGTCACCTCTGTACTCTTTGAATACCTTGGATGTTTTATGGTACTACCTCAGAGACCACCCTGTGATGCTCGTTGCTCCTGGTGGGCACTGCTACCTCTATGAAGCACCAAGTCTTGTGCCATGTCTATTTCTCCTAGATGCCACCTCTTCAAAGCCCCAACCCTTCTCCAGGCAATAGGAGAGTGGGGAACAACACCCTCTTTTTGTGCTTTTCTTGACTTGAAATAGTGTAGCTTGTGTCCCACTAATTGAAGAATTTTCAGTCCTTATTTGCCATGATCACTCTTTCCAAATATAGCAGCTGCTACTTACATGCTTGCTGTGTGTCTGGCACTGCTGGGAAAGCTTTGTGAACGTTAACCTGTGTAACCCTCACAATAGACTGAAGAGGCAGAAATACTACTGTCCTCATCTCCAAAGAGGCCAGAGAGGTTAGCTGTCTACCAGTAAGTGGCAGAGTTGAGATCTGAATTCAAGTTATCTGCTGTAGAACCCTTGCTCTTAACCACTCATCTATAATGAAGGAATTAGATATGTACCTATGGAATATGGCTGATTTTGTACTGTACTCCCAATCTTTCTACTGTCATCCTGGGGCTTGTTATTCAGTTCTTTTCCTCCTTCAGAGCCTCATGCGCAGTGGTTCCTCTGTGTACAATAAGTGGTGTGCTAATGGATCTGAGCTGTTATGCCTGCCCTCGGGCTGATGTGAAGACTGCTCCCTCCTCACGGGGCGGGATGCTAAGACAGCTGCTTGGAGAACTGTGTTTCTAACACGAAGGAACTCTTGAGGGAAGGAAGTGAGATGAATATGATTTTGAGAGTAGGAACCCTTGGAAAAGGACATAAACAGACCAGGGAGCCACTTCAGACTGCGACGCACACAAAACAGGAACCTGCACAAGGGAGATGCAGCCCATATCCCTTTGTTTTGCATGGTTCCTAGTGATACATGAGGCTGGCAAGGAGAATGTGTAGGGCCTTGAAGAGCAATGGCTCACACTCAAGAGTTTAATATGTAACCAAGAGAGGGAGACTAGGTGCAGAAACTAGCATCAGTGATTTGTGAGTGCTAGAGACAGAATTCTCCACTGCTCCCCTATAGTGAAAGTTACAGTGTAGGGCTTAAAGCCTACACAGTGTCTACTTCAACTGTGGGAACTACGTGGATTCATCTTTCAGAATACTAACTGGGACATGACCTGCCTTCATGGTTCTAATGTGGATTGATTATTTACAAGCTGAAACTCAGTTTTTCTTCTCAAAACCAGTTGCATTTTCTTCATTCCTGTGATAAAGGGTCCCCTTCTATATCTGGGTCCACCCCATTCTCTAGCAGGCATGAGAATGATTCTTGAGTATTGGTCCACTGGTATGATTCCAGGAAGTTCTAAAACTACTGTCCTAGAGGAGCCCATGCAGATGATGCTACATCTGATCATCTTGAATAGTGTTACCCAGGTTAACCACTGTTCACAGCCCTTCTTCAAATGCCCCATTCTTTCAATAGTAAAGAAATGAAGGCACAAATTAAGTCTGGGGAGATGCTTGCCAAACAAGCTCATCACCAATGGTGAGACTCTCTAGCTTTGTGGAAAGCCAAATTTGTCAGCTGTTTTCATTTCAGCTCACTTAACCCCATTATGCTCTCCTGAGCGGCACCTTAAGGGAGTCCTGCTGCTGTGACATCACAAGGTACCAGCTGAAGTGCGTGGTCCCTTTGAGAATCAAATGTCCATTGGAAATGAATGAGTCGCTTCTACCCAAACTACCTTGGAGTGTTGTCAGTCGGGCCTGAAATAAATATGTAGAGTTATTTCACTCTTGTCAGAACAGAAGTCTTATTCTTTGACAGTTTATGCAAGGCTCAGGAGGGACAGCAGCCCAACCAATCTGCTCTGTGTGTTCCTCCACTCCATACCTGTTTCCCTTGCCTGCCCAAGGTGGGAGATAAGGAGAGTGGGGATCGAATCCCCAGAGGGTTATGAGTCCTGCAGGAGGGCTGCATGTTGCTTGTTGAGCCTTTTGAAGGGTTTTAATGGAGTAACTTATCTGAAGAAGCCATTTACAATCCTTAGTGCTGTTCCTTGTTTTTGGCAAACACACAAGTCTTATTCTTATGACTTAACAAGTTTTGAAACAGGGTAGTTTTTTCTAAACTGAGTTACTTAATGATTTTGTGGCCGAAGAGGTTGGGGATCCTGGAGACCATCTCAGTGGCCCTTTTCTCTCCCTTCACTTCCTGCTCTACAGTGACCTGTAGACCCAGGGATGTGCTGTGAAATTCCATCCGTTCTGTTCCGACATTTGCTCTAAGAGATGTGGCATATATAAAAAGAGGTGTAAAGAAACATCCAAGGGATGATTAACTTTGTCTTTTAGTGGATTACTCTAGATTTCCCTTAGTTGCCCCTGGAAACAGCCTGACTTCAGGAAGGACAAAGAATATCAAATATAGAGTTTCTCAGAATCTCCAACCCCAGGATCATCTCTTTCTACTCCCACACGTCTTGTGATCTTTAATCTTTCCTCAGATTTTAATTGGCAGCGATGAGATACCTATCTCAGGATTGCATGAGAAGGAAACCCAGTTTATAACCACTTGTAACTTAACCTTTTTAGGGAATCAGAACTACAAAGCTTGACTCAGTCACATCTAAAACTGGGAAAGCTAAAACTTTGTATGAAGAAGAAGGTGAATAGTGAAAAATAGACTCTTACACAGTCGTAGCCAGTTCAGCAAGGCAGACACAGGAGAAGTGGAAACAAAGGGAGGGGAGGGAGGGGGAGGCAGAGAGGATCATGGAGCTTCCGGAAGTTCGTGCCCCGTTGTTTGTTTCTACCTACAGTGCTTCTCCTGTGTGAGTGACCCTCACTTGAGAGCAGCCCCACCCAGCTCAGCTGTGAGAAGCAGCCCACACCATTTTCAGAACGAGCCTGGTTTGCATGCAGGCTCTTTGCTGGACCCTTGTAGCTTCCAGAGGTTGCCTGCCTGCTTCAGGCCCTTCTGTGTATCTAAGGAAAGTTCCAGTGTGGTATTGCCTTCAGTCAGTCTTGAGAAATACGTTCTGTTATTCCAAGAAAGAAAAGAAAAGAAAAGAAAAGCAGAGATAATTAGATCTTCCTTGGAGTTTTACTTTTCTCCCAGTTTTTGTTTTGAGAAGTACTTTAAGATTTTTCTAACTTTCAGTCTCAGCCTCTGATGAAGGATGACTTTTTAGGTCACTGTTTCCTCAGCTTTTTAGTTATCTATTCATCTCTTTCATGCTCTTTGTATACCATCTGTGCTATTTTCCCTGAATATTTTCCTTTACTTGGATTCAAATAGTATAAAAATTTAGTCTTATTCTAAGTCATAGATTGGCAATATCACAAGTGTGTTATTTAAAAAGAATAAACAGACAACAATTAAAATATTGGAGCATATGGCACCTGTGTTTCACCGATCCAGCAGGACGATGAACCTCCTCAACTGTCTGGGTTTTAGAGTCACCATGGAGACACACCTCTCGATGTGAAGGTGTTTCTGGGAAGCTTTGAGGGAGCAGGGAAGACCTGTCTGGAATGTGGGGGCACCATTCCCCTGCAATGGAGTCCCAGAGTGAGTAAAAAGCAGAAAGTGAGCTGAGTATCAGCATTGACTTCTCTCTGCTTCCTGACTGTGGGTGCAGTGAGACCTGCTGCCTCCTGCTCCTGCTGCTGTGCCTTTCCGTAGCCATAACACACCGTGGCCTTTTAAAACTGTAAGCTAAGTAGCTCCGGGCCACGTGTTTGGCGTCAGCAGTGAAAAGAGTCACTAATGCACTAGGAAATGTCTGGCTTCTGGCTTCTGTTTTGTGTCAGATGAGTGATATCCAGGGTGCATCAAAGAGAAAAGATACAGATCAGGTGGCCTCCTAGGAGGTTGAAAGGCCCTATAGGTCGCAGGATGAAGTTTATTGAAAATATGGGATATTTTCCAAATGAGTTACATTTATACATGCTTGTGCACACGTGCACACACACAACTCTCATCAATATTTACATCCTGGATCTGAATGATGGAGTTAGTTGACCAAAAGATTACCCTCTGCAAAGATACTAGATAGTCAGTTCCAGAAGGTTCTTCTAAGCGGTGCTTTTTAAACGAGTCCTCTCACTTCCATATTAGTTATTTATTGAAGAAAAAAAATAACAGGGTTTCTGTGATTAAGAAATGAATCACATTACTTAATAATATTCTCAATCAACTGAGCATCTTTGTGGTCTCTCAGGAAAAAGATAAATAAGATTATGCTATTACTCTGTGGCTTTGTGTTTGCCATAGAATTTCTTTTTCAGATTTCAGGGTAAACAGAACAAAGGATCACTTCTACAATTCATGTTTTTCCCAGAGAATCTTCTGGCATCTCATTATTAGGAGAAAGTAGCAAGAAAAAGGATTAAGAAAATAGAAGGGTGAGTTAATTGTGTAATTCACAGTGATAGCTTTCTTTTCCCTTTCTTATCGTTTTGCATGCTTTCCCCCCAAGGAAAGATTGAATAGAGTAATTTCCCCCTTTTCTTGTTTCTTTCAGAACTTGGTGATGTGTCAAACATATTATGTTCATAATACTCATAGTTATCATGACCGTGGGGGAATCAGGGCTTCAAGTAAATATGCTATGAAGAGGACTTTATGAAAAAATTGATCTTCATGTTTGAGGGCAATAGAAGGATTCTTTTGCCCTGAATACCAGTGAATAAATATGGACTTGGGCCACAGACACTGGACAGAGATTGTCTCTGGGAAGACTGACATGCCTTCGGCATGAAGATGCTACAAGAAAAAGACATGTAATTAAGGGAAAGGAGAAAGGCTTTAACCAGGGTCTTTAAAGAGACTGTGATATGGGGAAAACATTGTGTGGAAGATGTGACCAAAGATCTCTTAGGTTAGAGAGTGGAAGGAAATGAGACTGTTTAAAATTCCACTGTGTATCTGTTCCACAGGAAGAATAACATTCCTGTGTGGTGCCGCTTGCCACTCCGTGTTTAGAAACAATTAAAAGATGCAAATATTTATGAATCACTGCGTATGTTGTAATCCTATTTGGAAAACAAACATCGCCTTGTACGATAGGCTCTTGGTGCTGGTTGCTGTTGGGATTCAGGGGTTAAAGCAAACCCTTCAAAATGAGCTCCTGACTGCTACCCAGACAAAAGGATGCAACTCAAGAGAGACTGCGCTGTTTGCTCACAAGCTGTTGCCTATGCCAAATGAGCATTTTAAAAGCCATTCAAATTAAGTTGAAAATTTGTAATTATATTTTCCCTTTTAATTGTAACTTATGCAAATGTTAGATTCCAGCTGTACAAATAATTTTCACTTCAGACTACAACATTCACATTAAATCTAGCATGTAACACCCTAATGTAAGAGCCTTCCCAGGCTGTAGCTGCAGATTGAGAAGGCTGGAGTTGGCTTGATTAGTGATGGCTTCTGTGGCTGGAAGCCTGCAGTTAAGTATAGATCACACAGTGACGGTCGAGAAGAAAGACACCTTTGCTGTCATTTACTGGAGATGATTTATGAATAGAGCACAAAGAATGACAAAGCAGGCCAATCGGGGAAGTACAAAGTCTAAGAGACCTTGGATGTGTCCAGTGGAGGGACCCACATCCATGACTGTGGTATGGGTAGTACAAACTGAACACAGTGAGTCACTGAAAATAAAAGAGGGTGCAAAGTGGGGACTGGGGAGCCAGAGGGAATGGATCTGGGAAGTTAGGGGGAGGAGTATGTGCAGGGATGTAATTTAAATATTTTGTCTAAAATTCTTAAAAATAATAAAACATTACACCTAGAACCCTCGGATGTTTGGTAAAGTAGAAGCTGCTACTGATGAAGTGAGTTTACACTGTATTAGCTACAGGAAATTTTCATGGGAAATGGAAAGTACCTGATTTCTGCTTATAAAGTTGTTTCAAACACACAGCAGTTAACAAATGATCCATATCCTTCTGTTTTACCCTGCCAGAGTCCAGCCTGAGCTGAGCCCGGGCTGTGATTTAGGACTTTGTCTGTGGCACTGGCATTTTGGTGGTTTCGGTTTGGGTTTGGTACCTAAGGATAATAATGTCTGTAAGCTCAGTTGTCAAAGGTGTGGGTGGGGCATAGGGGTGGTCCTTACTGGTTATTTATTTTGCAATTCTTTTTTTCCTTTTAAAATAAATTAATTTAAATTAGAAACAAGTTTGCTTCACATGTCAATTCCAGCTCCCTCTCCCTCCCCTCCTCTCCTGTCCCCATTCAACCCTCCCCCAACCCCTCCCCCAATCTCATTTCACTCTCCAAGGAGGGTGAGGCCCTTCATAGGGGATCTTGAAAGCCTATCATATGATCCAGGGCAGGGCCTAGGCCCTCCCCCACGTGTCCAGGTGGAGACAGCATCCCTCTATGGGGAATGGGCTCCCAAAGTCCATCTGGATGACAGGGATAAATGCTGATCTATTCCCTGAGGCCTCTAAGTATGCTGATGCCTCCTCACTGACACCCACGCTCAGGGGATCTGGATCAGTCACATGCTGGCCTCTCAGCTATCAGTCTGGGGTCTGTGAGCTCCTCCTTGTTCAGGTCAGCTGTTTCTATGGGTTCCACCAGCCAAGATTTAACCCCTTTGCTCATCACACTTCCCTCTCTGCAGCTGCGTTTCCGGAGTTCAGTTCAGTGTTTAGTTGTGGGTGTCTGCTTCTGCTTCCTTCAGCCACTGGATGAAGGCTCTAGGATAGCATACAAAGAAGTCGCCAATCATGTTATCAGGCAAGGGCATTTAAGGCAGCCTCTCCACTTTTGGTTAAATTGCCAGTTGGTGTCATCCTTGTAGGCCTCTGGACATCTCACTAGTGCCAGATCTCTCTTCAAACCTATAATGGCTCCTTCTATTATGGTGTCTCTCATCCTGCTCCCCCTATTCTTCCCCCTACTCAACTTTCCTGCTCCTCCATGTCCTCCTCTCCCCTCCTCTTCAATCCCTCTCTTTCTCCCAGCTTCCTCCCCTCCCAACCCCTGTGCTCCCAATCCCCTCAAAAGATTCTGTCCTGTTCCCCTTCTCTGGGTTACCATGCATAGGGTCTCTTAGGGTCCTCCCTGTTTCCCAGACTGTCTGGCTGTGGGACTGTAGGTGGACATACCCCTGTTTCATGTCTAAAATCCATATATGAGTGAATACATACCATGCTTGTCTTTTTGTGACTGGGTTACCTCACTCAGGATGGTTTCTTCTTGTGCCATCCATTTGCCAGCAAATTTCAAGATTTCATTGTTTTGTTTTGTTTTTTCTGAGTAGTACTCCATTGTGTAAATGTACCACATTTTCTCTATCAGCTCTTCAGTTGAGGGGCATCTAGGTTGCTTCCAGGTTCAGGCTATTATAAATAATGATGCTATGAACATAGTAGAACAGATATCCTTGTTGTATGAATGTGCATCTTTTGGGAAATCAGTATGGAGATTCCTCAGAAAAATGGGAATCAGTCTACCACAAGATCCAGCAATTTCACGTGTTGCAATTCTTTTTTAAAACATTTTTATTAGTTTATTTTTTACATTCCAATCCCAGTTTCCCTTCCTTCCTTTCCTCCTGCTCCCCCCACTTATCCCACAACCCACCTCCCATCTGCTCCTTGGAGAGGGTAAGGTTCCCCAGGAACTCTACTAAGTCTGTCCCATCATCTCTTTGAGGCAAGGGACCTCCTTACCCCCGTACTACTGTGTCTAGGCTGAGCAAGGTATCTCTCCATAAAGAATGGGCTCCACTAAGTCAGTCTGTGCATTTGAGTTAGATCTTGGACCCACTGCCAGTGGCTCATATATTGTCCAAGCTGCACCATTGTCACCTATATTAAGGAAGTCTAGTTCAGTCTTATGCAGGTTCCTCATTTGTCAGACCTGAGTCAGTGATCTCTCACTAGCTCGGGTCAGCTGATTCTGTGTGTTTCCCCATCATGGTCTTGACTCCTTTGTTTATATTTTTGCTTCTCTCTCATTTCGATTGTACTCCAGGAGCTTGGCCCATTGGTTAGTTGTGGATTTCTGCATCTGTTTCCATCTGTTTCTGGAAGAGGGTTCTAGCTTCTCTGGGGTTGTGGATTGTAGGTTGGGTATCTTTTGGTTCCTTACTGGTTTTAAAGAAAGCAGGTAGACACAGGGTTTGGGAAGTTGTGGAAGCCAGAAAACCCTGGGGGCTACTGTGGGGGCTTTGATATGTGTTATGGGTTCTGCTAATGGAGACCAAAGGGGCCACATTTGCTGGAGGTAGGGAGATAAGGGAAGTAATGGCTCTTCCTGGCAGACAGAAACCCATTTCACAGATTTCCAAGGAATGCTGAGTCTAAGCTTTTGTCTGTCCCCAGCAATCCTTCTGTTTCATCCTGGGAAGTCATGTCCAAAAGCATTTGAATTTTTATCCAAGAGTGAAGAGTGATTTATACATGTGCATATATATTATTTAAGAACTCAAATATACCTGAGAAACAAAGCAAAAAAGAAAACAAATGGGGATAATTGCAGCAAACATCTTGTTCTGATTCTTGATAAACTTGGGGAAATTTTCTCCAACCCTGTGGAAAAACACAGGGGCCCTGAATCCACTTCAGTCCCATTGACAGTTGATCAGTTGGTTTTTCCCTCCCTTCCTTCCTCCCTTCCTCCCTCCCTCCTTCCTTCCTTCCTTCTTTCCTTCCTTCCTCTCCTTCCTCCATCCCTCCCTCCCCCTTCTTCCTTCCTTTCTTTTTTCCTTTTTTGTCTTTAACAGTAAGTGCTCTGAAATCAATGAAAAGAAGAAATTTTTCTTTAAGTAATCCACAACTTTGTTTATTAAGCAGGCAAACTTGTCTAGAAAGATGGACTATAGTAAAATGATGTGTGCGTATTCACAGAACTACCAAAGATCAACACTTCATTTGTCAACCAGGCAAGCAAATTAGTATGGCATATGTTTAGGGTCCACACTGAATGGAGGTGGCATGTTTGAAAGCTAAGGGGGCCCACTTCCAGTGCTTTTATCAAGTCAGTTGGAAAACAGTGCCCTCTTTCCTAATTGTGGGTACTTCCTATGTTTGTTCATGAAATGAACTTGGACTTAGTTGGAATATCATGCAGATTTGTTAATTTGTAAAACACCTGGATAGGTCCCAAACAGAGATGGGAAAGTTTGTTGATCTCTAATTGGTTCTGATTAGTTCAAATTGATCTTCAAGCTAAAGGAAATCTAAGACAAAGATTCCATAGTTCTGAAAATGGACACAGTGTCCTGTCAATCCGTATGCTTCAAGTCAAGGAGTGAATGATGGGCAATACAAGGGAAAGCTGAAAAATAATGACTGGAGACAAAAATACAAGAAAAATGAGAGAAAACAACCTTCCAGTGACTTGAACCTTACTAATCAGACTCACAGCATCTTTTTTCATGTAAGTAACTATGACCATGCCACATCCCTTTACTTTGGGTCAGTTTGGATCATCGCATATGACAAATAAATCTGTATCATTAAGGTTGGTGTGTTGATCTGCATGAAATGACTTACCATGGATAAACGCAGCAATGTCTTTCCTTTGTGAACTCATTCATTCATTCGCTCATATATTTATTGACTCATCATAAAGCATTTGGGGGGTGGCAGTTATGTGCCAGACAACATTAACATTAAGTACCAAACCCCAGATCATCAAAATGGCAGTGCCACTGACAGTGTCCTGAATGACAGCCTGGGCTCAGCTCAGGCTGGACTCTGACAGGGTAAAACAGAAGGACTGCTGGGGACAGGCAAAAGCTTAGACTCAGCATTCCTTGGAAATCTGTGAAATGGGTTTCTGTCTGCCAGGAAGAGCCATTACTTCCCTCATCTCCCTACCTCCAGTGAATGTGGCCCCTTTGGTCTCTATTAGCAGAACCCATAACACATACCAAAGCCCCCATAGTAGGCTCCCAGGATACCTTCCTAAACCCTGCTGCTACCTGCTCTCTTTAAAACCAGGAAGCACACCCCTTCTTCTTCCTGAGAGTTAGCCATGGCAACTTTTA